AGACTTACTGGGAAGGGGCAGGGGTGGGAGAGGAAAGGCTGGTGGCAGGGGAGCTGGTGAGAAGGCTGATCTCATCCTTGGCCCAGTTGTAACCCGGCAGGAGAGGCTCGAACTTTGGAGTGAGACCCTGTGAGTTCCAATCACAGCCCCACGTCCCAGTTGCTGTTTGACTTTGGGCAAGTATGTGAGCTCTGATGTGTGCTGGAGGAAGAAAAAGGTGGGATTGGTGAGAGAAATCAAATTTCATGTGGTCATTAAATCAGTCTTGAGCTGGGTACCAGAGATCCAGGTTCTAATTCTAGAAAGTCTGAGAAAACACCGTATACACAGAAACCCATGCCAACCCACCCCCTTTCCAACCTCAGCCAGCTTCCTACAGCAGTTCCTGCTCATCTTCCATGAACTGACTCTGATGGAGGATGTGGCAGGCAGGGGGTGTCTTCCAGGGACCAGGGCGAGGGGAAGCAGGGTGGCTGAGCCAGTCCTAGAGAGAGATGCCATTGTGCCCAGCGGGGCCCCAGGCCATCCCTCACCCCCAGGCTAGCCCTAAACCACAGGCCACGTCCTGTTTCTCAGAAATACTGCTATTTCCCAGAGCCCAGCATTTGTGGGGGGACAAAGGGAGGTGACGTGACAGCTGCCAGAGGAGGAGAAAACATCCCCAGGAAACCTGGAGGCCGGGCCTGGCATTGTGAAGAATGATCACATTTCAGGGCCAGAAAGCTACCTGGGAAGGTTGAGTGGAATGAGGGCTCTGAGCCCAGGTCTGTGGTGCCTGCCCCTGCCCAGGACCCGGCCCCCTCCTGTGCTCTGGGACCCATGAGGATACAGAATCCTATCACATAAAGGTAGAGAGTGGAAAGGTAGATGACAGAGACTGGGAAGGGTGCAGGGAGCGGGAGGATGAAGAATACTGGGCTGAAGGTACAGACATGCAGACAGAAGGATTCCATTCAGTGATTGATAGCATGGTAAGGTGACTGTACTTAACAAAAATATATTCAGGTGATGGACACCCTAAATACCTTGACTTGATCACTGCACGTTATATACACATTATATACATGCAGCAAAATTTCTCATGTACCCCATAAAGTTGCACCAAAAAAATTAAAAAAAATAAAATTAAGACTTTAGGATATAGAATCGTAGACCTCAGTTGGAATCCAATTGTCCATTTGTTATTGTGACCTTGGTGAGTGACCTTCTCTCCCTGGAGGCTTAGTTCCCTTGTCTGATATGGTTAACAAGCCCCACCTCACTGGGCTGTGCTAGGGATCAGATGGGACAGTGGATTTGAATGTGCTTTGTTAACCAGTGGCCAGAAGGGATATCACTACCTCAGCTGGAGCTCTGGCTGTGCCCAGCCGGGCCACCGATGGGACAGTGGATCCCATGGGACTCCCTGCTGGAGCCTTGGGGAGCCCCATGGTGGGGCATGGCTGGTCAGATCTGGGAGCCCTCCACTCCCCTTTCATCACACTCACAAGGAGATGAGTAGGGTTATGCAGCAGGTTAGAGGCCAATGAAGAATGGATTTTAACCCGTCCCTAAATCTTGCCTTCATCCATTCATCCATCCTCACTCCTATTTCTCCTAATCTTCCCTCTCCTGGGGCATCTCCTCATCACAGACTTGCTCCCAGCCAGAGAGCTGTCTTCTTAAGCCCGTGTGCACAGTCAGCCATGGGCCTGCCTCTCTTCTTTATTGCCAGCTTTCTTAAAATGCTTGTTTCCTCACTTCCCAGAAACCATCTCAGCACCTAAAGCCCAGCTCCCACCTCTCAGCTATCCTGACTTTGCTCCCTGCTGTGGCCATTGGAGTCTCTTTGTCTCCATGAAGGTCTCTTTGCCGGCCTTACTCGTGGTCCTCTCAGCACCCTGCTCCCCACCTGTTCCGTCTGCCATGCTGACTCTTTGCTGATGCTCTGCGGTCCGTCCTGCTCCCACTCTGTTTACTCCATCATCTCTCCCAGACCAGTGTCACCCCCTCTCCCAGCTTTAGTTCCCACCTACAGGCCAACAGCTCCCAACTCCCCACCTCTAGCCCGGTTTTCTCTCCAGACCTATTAAACCCAGAGGGCTGTGGATACCTCCTGAGACCCAGCGTGTACTCAGCTGAAACTTCTGGCTTCTCCTCCCAGAAGGTATCACCAAGTGAGACACCAGGTACATACTTGCTCCTCGTTCTCCCTCAATCCCGAATCTAGCCAGTCATCCACTGTGCCTTGCCCATGACTTCTCTCCTACCCAGGCCAGAGTCATCCTCACATGGATCCCACAGCAGCCACCTCCTGCCTGGCCTCAGCCTCACTCTGCCAGGCCCTTCTTTACCTGGCCAGTAGAACCAGTGTTCTCAACCACAAATCTGACCAAAGTATTGAAACTCTCCTGGGCCTACCTGCTAGCCTTCAAGATGCAGTCAGAGCTCTTCAGCTAGCTGTGCAGCCTCACCTCCCTTTGCACATTGCCTCAAATTATCATCCAGTGACAGTGAGCTATTTATGGTTCTGCTGTAACTTGCTATTTTTCACCTTCTACCAAGTTTTCTCTTCCTGTGCCATCACCCACCCTCCTCTCTCTCTCTCCTTTTTTTCTATCTCCTGCTCGCCTTCCGAGCCTGCTTGAGTGTCCTCAGTCTGGGTTGGGGCTGTGCCCCTTTGGTCCCTGCCCTTAGCACTCGCAACGCTCAGGGGCTCGGATGCCACTCCCTCCTCTATCTCCTCCTCCATCTCCTCCTCCAGACTTGAGGCTCCAAAACACAGGAAGGGCAATTAGCTCCCTACACTGTGTTGGTGCTCTAGCATAAAGCCCACCCAAGAGCAGCGCAGAAGATGTTTTATGAATGAATCCATGAAAGAGAAGACAACACGGCAGAGCTGCCTAAAGACTCACATGGCGAGCCCGTGTTTACACACTCAGAAAGGTCTGGACCAAAGTCAGGAGAGGGCAATGTGCTGAATGTGTCCCCCCGGTGGAAAAGCGAACCTCATAGGCATCCCATAAGCCTGTCAGAGAAACCAGGAAGGCAGTTTGGTCTGTAGCATCAGGAGAAGTGTACAGCGAAGTCCACTCCTGTCCAGAGACCCTGGAACTGCCTCTGATGACAGAGCCCTGCCTCCAAACCCCATTTTCCAGGAAAGGAGGAGCGGGTTCAGGGCACAGATGTGTCAGGCAAAGTATCACTGAAGACATCTGAGCTAGGTTGAAGGATGACCAGAGTTTATTCTGTGAACGGTTAAGCTTTCAGATTCCTGCACTTTAAATGAGGCAAGCTCAGAACCCATCTCCAGAGCTCCAAGTGAACCCTCTGTGTGAGCAAGCCAGGCCAAAATTGTGAGTCGTCGAGGAGAGACAGGTAGAGGCTGTGAGGGGAGAAGGTGAATGTCTTCTGACTCAGGGGATGTCGGGAGGTTCCAGCCTGAAACCCCAAACTTTCAAACCCAGACCCTGGGAGCTGGCAGAGGAGTTAGGGGAGGGAGACACTCATCCCTGCTCAATAAGACTTCCCAAACCTTAGCCGACTTCCCAAACCTTAGTAACCCTAGATTCAAGATTAGGGCTATGGAGGCCAGCTTAGTGGCTCGTGCCTGTAATCTCAGTACTTCGGGAGGCTGAGGCAGAAGGATTGCTTGAGCCCATTAGTTCTAAACCAGCCTGGGCAACATAGCAAGACCCCATCTCTTAAAAAAAAAAAAGACCAAGGCTATGGAGACAATGACACTAAGCCCTCTGAGTGGCTGCACAAGTCCAGTCAACAGACTACTGTCCACCATTGCTCTGGAGCTTTGATCAGGCTTGGGTGGGGAGGGGATGGAGAAGCCATGGTTGTGAGAGGGTTGAGACCAGCTGTCCTGAGGAGAGAACCCTACCTGGGGCCGGAAGACCTGAGTTCTAGCCCTGGCTTCAGTACAGCACTGTGAGGCTTTGGGGAAGACATGCGGTGGTCCCGAGCCTGTCTCCTCCTCTCTAAAATGTGGGTAGTGCCTACACCATTCACCTTTAGTGAAATCATAGGCATTAAAACATCTTTGAAATTATAAGGATTTGTACACGTTGGCAGGATAAATAATTGATGGTGTCTTTATTTTATTATTAATATTTTTAGAGATGGAGTCGTGCTCTGTTGCCCAGGCTGGAGTACAGTGGCATGATCTCGGCTCACTGCAACCTCTGCCTCCTGGGTTCAAGCAATCCTCGTGCCTCAACTTCCCAAGTAGCTGGGATTACAGGCGTGCACCACCACGCCTGGCTAATTTTTGTATTTTTAGTAGAAATGGGGTTTCACCATGTTGGCCAGGCTGTTCTCGAACTCCTAGCCTCAGATAATCCACCTGCCTCGGCCTCCCAAAGTGCTGGGATTGTAGGCATGAGCCACCGCGCCTGGCCCTAATGGTGTCTTTAATTGTAACTGTTGGGCCTTCTCAGAGCATGGTGCCAGTTGGCAATCTGACCGCTCAGTCTTGGAAATCCTCTGAGGTGAGGCTATCTGGGCATGTGACACTGGCCACACTGGAACTGGGGAAAGAGTGCTAGCCTGGAGCGAGAGATCTGGCTTCCAACTCCAGATCTGCTACTAAGCAGCTCTGCAGCTTCGGGCAAATGACTGCCCGCTGCTCCTCCCTAACTGGGTTTCCTCGTTGTAGGGTGTGAAGAGAGTAGTGAGGATCCCAGGAATATTTGCTGGGAAAGTGCTTTAAGGCTCAATTAGCGCCCTCCCCTGGTTAATTAGAGTCATTCCTCTTTCTGAGGCTCAGTGTCAAAGAGCTGTGGGAGGGGGGCTGCCCAGAAAAGCAGGAGGCGCTGCAGGTGGGGGGCCTGGGTGAGGAGGCTGGGGAAGCTAGCCCTGGCTCCGGTGACAACTCACTGTGAGGACCGGAACCATTCTCTGTCCCTTCTGGATCTCGGTTTCCATCCCTGTAAAATGGGGATAACCAGGCCTGCCTTGCAGAGTTGCTGGGAGAGCATGCAGGAGACTGGATATGAACCCAGAAGGCAGGGTTGAGGGTAATGCAACTTCTTATTTATTAATATATAATAACAATTATAAAACTCATATCTGCAACTGTTTAGGTCTTTGTTATAATGTCTTGGTCACTTTGTCTGGACTGGCCGTGACCTTCAGCTCCGGGGTCTGGGCTAGGAAGACGTTCCAGTGACCTGCATGGAGGAGGGCAGAAAAGAAAAGGGTGCATATGCTGCATGTGCACAACAGAGGCAGGGGCTGGGGGCTGGAAAAGCCTTGGGCCAGGAGGAACTGCAAGGGCCAGGGTTTGGAGCCCACAGGGAGCCTGGAGGTGAGTGTCCCATCACACGGCTGGGGCACATGACTCAGCTTTCAAACAACCTTGGGGGACAGAGCTGGTTTCCTGACACCTGTTGGTAATACTCCCTTCTGTGACCTCCCCTCCCCGACCCGAAGCCCCACCTGGGTCCATCTTCCTAAGAGTAAAGTATAGAAGGAAAGTGGGAAATGTTCCAGTAGAGAGGGAGTAAGCAGCACACAGGTTTGGGGGCTCAGACCTCCCCACTCCACAGCCTTGTCTCTCTCCACCCCCAAGATCAAATCCAGCCAGCTCTGCTTCACCTTCCCGCTCTGGAGTTGGGAAATCTCTGGCGCAGACACCCACTGGATTCCTGTGCTGGGAACTGACGTCTGTGGCTGACAGCCCCTCCTCCCAGCACCAGCAGCCTGGGAACTCCCCGAGAGGCTCTGGCCTGTGTCCTTGCCTTCTTCCCCAGGCCCCATTCCTCAGCCCAAGCTCCTACCTTCGTGGGGGCCAGCGAGCAGCCGGAAGTGCTGTGCCTCTTTCTGGAAATCTTGCTTCCTGACTTTCTTGATCTGAGTCAAGTGGAAGATCCCTGAGGGCAGAGACAAGGACATGAGCAGGAAAGGCAAAAACTTACAGTCAGTGAAAAGTGAAACAGGGTGACTTAGCACAGAACGGACCCAGTCACTCCCTCCCCCACCCCTATTCTGATCAGACACAAAATCCTGCTGATGACATTTCCTCAATATTTTGAATCCATTCTCCTACCTCGCTGCCACTATCCTCACTCAGGCCCCTGTTGTCTTGTCTGGGTCACTACACTAGAGTCCTAACCCCTTTCACTCCCCCTCTAATCTGCAGTCCTAGCTGTGGTCATTAGAACATGTATACATCACCCTGTCATTCCCATTCCCTGACGTCCTGTCGCCTCCACGGCGAAGCCTGTGTTCTTCCATCTGTTCTCTCTGCCGACCCTGCTCCTGTCACCTGCACCATCCTGCTCTCACAACACCCACCTGTCCCCAGTGCAGGGAGGGAGGGAGGCGGAAGGCAGGAAGAAGAGAAGGAAGAAAGGAAAGAGAAGGAAGGAAAAAGGAAAGGAGGGCAGGAAGGGAGGAAGGAAGGTTGGCTGGCTCATGTGGACTGGTCACACTTTTCTCAGGGCATAGAACATATGATAAAAATCAATAGGCGTGGTTATTCAGATACCAAAGAACGAGCAAGTGGCAGAGTAATAGTGGCTTGCCTGTACCCTAGCCCTAACCAAATACTTGACGTCCCCTGAGGAGGCAAGCCTTTTCAAATGCCATTCCCTCTCCTGGAATACCTTCTACTATTGCCTTCTATTTCTACTTCTTCTTTTTTTTTTTTAGATGGAGTTTTTGCTCTTGTTGCCCAGGCTGGAGTACAAAGGCATGATCTCGGCTCACTGCAACCTCTGCCTCCTGGGTTCAAGCGATCCTCCTGCCTCAGCCTCCTGAGTAGCTTGGATTACAGGTGCCCGCCACCACGCCTGGCTAACTCTGTGTGTGTGTGTGTGTGTGTGTGTGTGTGTGTGTGTGTGTGTCTGTATTTTTAGTAGAGACTGGGTTTTCACATGTTAGCCAGGCTGGTCTTGAACTCTGACCTCAAATGATCCACTCGCCTTGGCCTCCCAAAGCACAAGCTGGGATTACAGGCGTGAGCCACTGTACCTGGCCACTACTTCTACTATTGGCACCAAATGAACTCCTACCTGTGCTACAAGCCTTACCTGGGAAGTCTTCCCTAATCCACCCAAGGCAATTCCTCCTTGGGGCACCCACAGCACCTGGCTTCCATCTGTGATTGTGCCTGTTTCTAATGTGCTCTCACTGTGCCTACTCCTGCTTCCTTTACCAGACTGGGGACTCCCAGAGGGCTCTCCTCTCTGGGTCTCTTGAGCCTGGCCCACATTAGGCATGTAGAATGAATGAATCCCTGGATGGATGGATGGATGGATGGATGGATGGATGGATGGATGGTTGGACAGATGAACAAGTACACACACACACACACACACACACACACACCACACCCAGTCTAGGCCAGGCCTCAAGGGGGAATGAGGTATTAGCTGGATTCCCTGATGTTTGCATCTCATGGGGAGCTGGCCACTGGCACCACACATGGCTCTGAGGCCCTGAGCACATGGGCTGTGAGGCTGCACCAGCTGTTACCCACCAAGGTCTCTGGCCAGAAAGAACAGATGCAACCAGCAAGGCCTCTGCTAGGCCAACACCGCCTTTAAGAAGACCAAGAACTGGCCCTGCTTTATGGGAATCAGCGTGGGATTCCTGCCAAGGGGAACAGAAAACCCTGATCCTGGGACTGAGTTCCAGGAATCAGGAAATGTCCAGCACTGTCCATGGACCCCCCAGCCCAGATGCCAAGGACCAGGTTATGGAAGAAACTCCAAAGGCCCAGGGACTATATCATAGCGGCAGGCAACAAGCATGAGATGAGATAGGGAGAGATGAGATGGGGCTGGGTCCTTTGGCACAAGCCTGCCACTGCATGCTCCCAAGTTACAGAGAAATTGGAGAGAAGGTGGCAGGGATGCGGGCGGGTTCCCACACTGTGGTCTGTAAAACATAACTGAAAGGACTGGGTCTCTGGCCTGGAATCAAGAGCTAGCCTGAGGGTCATGGTTGTGCCTCTTGCCCTTTGAAGGGCTGTGGCAGGTCTGAGGGCAGGTGGGCTCTGTGGATCCTCAATGCAGAGCAGGGACCAATGGGCGAGTCCAGGGACACAGGATAGGCTCAGCTTAGTGTGAAGTCAGATGCCCTTTGGGCTGAGCAATTCACAGTGTTGGAAGTGAGTCACATATCTGGTGTGGGAGTGAGGGTATGTACAGTCAGGCACCAGACACCATCAGGCCATCAGGAGGCTGCAGGGGGGCTTCCTTCCTAGGCAGGGCTTGGAATTGAGACCCCTGACATCCTTTCTACTGTGAAACTTTAAAAGGCCCTTAACCCTAAGCCAACTATCTGGTTAGATTCTGGTGTCTGGAGCTGGCCCCTCATGGTGTGGCCTCACCTAGCATCTGCCTGCTCACTTTGTTTCCGTTCCTTGGATTGGGGAGACAGTGAGTGGTTTCCACTGACAATCAACCCTGGGGAGTGTTTGTTTTAACTCCCACGGTCTGGGACAGGGAGGGAACAGGGAGGTTGATGGGGCATTTAGGCAACCCACGGGGTGAGGAGATGGGGTGCGGTTTGCTAGTGACAGGATGGCAGGGCCTGGCATTGTGAAGTTGTTTTTCCTTTTCTGCTGGGCCGGTGGCAATGAGATTGGCCATGAGCTATGTCCCCACTGTGCCATCCTGGCACACCTTGGCCATCCTCCCTAAAAACACAAAGTCACCTCTATGGAGTTGGCACCGGGGACAGTCAGATCTGGATTTGAATCTTTGCTTTACTGCGTGACTTTGTGTAAGTCATTTGACTTCTCAGACTCAGTTTTCTTACCTGCAAAATGGGGGCATTAATACATGTCCCTTAGGTTTCTTAAGAGGATTAAATGAGATACATTATATATAGTGCCTGCTACACACCAATCACAGAGCACAGGGCATATGGGCGTGAGCTCTGGAACCAGCGTTTGAGACTTTCGCTGTCATCCTGGATGCAGTGTACCCTTCTTGCCTCTTTATTTACTTATTTATTTTAATTTTTAGGTACACTATCTGTTCATTGGCTCTTTACATCATTGAGGCCCATTCTCCATGAAGCCTTCCGTGACCAGCTCAGCTCCCAATAAGCTCCGCTGCACCCAGGTCACTAAGCCATGACCTCCTGAAGACAGAGGCCGGGGCCTGTTATGCTCCATGTCCCGGCACTTAGTTGCAGGCAGCAGAGGGAGAGAGGCCCAGAGTAAATATGTGGCCAAAACCTGCCCAGGGACTGATGGAATCTTTTTATTGTATATATTTTTTGAGACGGAGTCTCACTCTGTCACCCAGGCTGGAGTGCAGTGGCACGATCTTAGCTCACTGCAACCTCCTCCTGGGCTCAAGTGATTCTGCTGCCTCAGCCTCCTGAGTAGCTGGGATTACAGGCACCCACCACGCCTGGCTAATTTTTGTATTTTTAGTAGAGTTGGGGTTTCACCATGTTGGCCAAACTCCTAGGCTCAAGCGATCCGCCCACCTTGGCCTCCCAAAGTGCTGAGATTACAGGTGTGAGCCACCGGGCCCAGCCGGGACTGATGGAATCTTAAGGCTCAAAAAATGTTAAGGGTTACTGAATCTAACTCCCCAGCTGCAGACAGAATCTCCACCAGCCCCTGCTTGCACGCTTCTCGTAACTGCAGCTTGCTCCCTCCCTTCCACTGGCAGAAGCCTCTAAGCGTGAGAAAGTTCTTCCTCTCTTGGAGCTGAAAGCCGCCTCTCTGCATTTCTCACCATCCCAATGTGGTAGAATGAGAAGACTGACATTTTTAGTGCCTGCTGTATGTCAGGGGCTGCACTGATGTCATGTCATTTAATCCTCCAAAAACCCTCTTCCCTACTTTACAGAAGAGAAACCTGAGGCCCAGAGAGATCACGTGACTGCCCAAGGCCACACAGCTAAGGTATAGCACAGTCTGGATTCAAACTGGCAGAGTTGGGATTCGAACCCAAAGCCCCTGCTTGTTGTTTGACCCTTGTGGTCACTCAGAACACGGCTGCTCCCTCTGCCTGGGACAGCCCTTCAGAGCCACGAAGCCAGCAGTCCTGTCCCCCTGAGTCTTCTCTTCTCCAGGCTGAACAGCTCCACTTTCTTCGTCCATTCCTCCTACGACAGGGGGCAGAGTAGAGCAGGGAAAGAGCCGCATCTGACGCCACAAGACATGGGCTCTAGCTCCCGTCCTCCACTTACTGGCTGTGTGGCCTTGGGCCAGGTACTTCACCTCTCTGAGCCTCAGTTTCCTCATCTGTAAAATGGGGATAATAATACCTAACTCTCAGGATCATTGAGGATCAAATGAGATAGTGAATGTGAAAGCACTTTGTAAACTCCAAAGTGCTACACACATTGGTTATTATTATCATTGTCATTTTTCTTATCATTCCCTCTTCCACCCCCACCCCGCCAGCCAAAACCATCAGTAGAGGAAAGGAACTTTAGAGATAATTCACACTTAAAAGAGTTTCGTTTGGATCCTGGCTTAACAGTTCACTCTACCCAGAGGACTTATGTTTTACAAGAAAGGCCACAAAACTGAACTTTCAGCAATTTCTTCATCAATGAAAACCCACTGGGTGTGGTGGCTCACGCCCGTAATCCCAACATTTTGGGAGGCTGATGCTGGAGGATCACTTGAGTCCAGGAGTTCGAGACTAGCCTGGGCAACATGGCAAAACCCCATCTCTACAAAAAAGAAAAAAAAGATACAAAAATTAGCAGGGCGTGGTGGCCCCAGCTACTCAGGAGGCTGAGATGGGAGGAGCGCTTGAGCCCAGGAGGATGAGGTTGCAGTAAGCCAAGATCATGCCACTGCACTCCAGCCTGGGTGACTGAGACCCTGTCTCAAAAAAAAAAAAAAAAAGTAGAAAAAACTCCTCTTAACCTTAAGTTGGTGATAGCAACAGACTGTTGAAGAGGGTGGGTTTCTCACCGAATGAGAACTATGGTTCTGATGTCCACTTACCTGGGAGTGATAAGATCCACCACTTTAAAAAGACTGAACACAGCCAGCCTCCAGGCCCTCCTACTTTGAGGATGCTGTGAGGGCCCTCCTGCCTGAGAAGACCGCCCCCACACCCCCACCCCCAGTGCTAAAATCCTGCCGTTAGACATCTATCTATTTCTCCAGGGCAGGCATCACCCTGCCTGGCTCCTCACAAGGTGCAACAGCGCCTTCCTCCCAGGAGAGGGAGCACTATCGAGCCTTGGCATCAGCAGGAGGAGCTTATCAGAACTGTAGAGAACCAGTCAGGCTCACTATCTCCCTGCATCTTGGAATCAGGGGCTCTTAAACCTGGTGGGGCAGCCAGAGGCACCTGATCAGCAAAATGTCCCTAAGGCCCCTGTGGGGTCTGGGGCACGGGAAGGGGGACTGGCCAGAGGTACACCCCACTGGGAGTGGGCAAACACTCACCTTTTACCAGCTTCCAGAGGTAGATCTCCACCAGGTCTGAGGCCTCATGTTCCAGGGCAAAGCGACGCAGGTTGTCTGGGCTTGGGGATACCGACGTGTGAACAAGAACCCGGCCCGGTGCCTTGGGACACCTGGTAGAACTGATCTCACTGTGGCCAGGGTCCGCCTTGTCCTCTGGAGAGACAAGAAGCTCATGAAGTTGTTCAATAAACAGTGGCTGTACCTCTTCAAAGCGCTAGCATTCTAAAATGTTGTGACTTCATGGAATCTGGAACATTATTTGATTCTATGTAACAACCTCTGAATCTATTATCCTGACACCACATGCTTCTAGCCATTTGATATTTTCATCTGACGTTTTCCACCCCTGTGTGTCTGACATGCCCTGCATCCTGTGGCACTGATGCATGCCCTTCCATGTCTGAAATGTTCCAAGTGTCTGTGACCCTGGGGAGAGAGACCCAGGGCTCACTCTGGCCGGCACCCGCCTGTGTACCTGGGCAAATCTTGCAGCATTTCCCAGCCACTTTCTCAGGGTGACGACAGGGGTACTCGGTGGGACAGGTCACACGCTGGCAGTCCTGGCGGCCATCCTCACAGGTGCATAGGATGCAGGGCAGGGGGCCGAAGGCACGAAAGGCCGGGTGCCACACCTCCCCATGGGAGTACGTCTTCCCGCCATGCACGCAGGCTGAATGAGGGTGAGAAAGGAGGAGGATCAGGGCCTCAGACGTGGCCAGGGCCTCTGGTCCAGCAGCGGGTGGGGCGGGCCCTTGGAGAGCCCTCACTTTACCAGTCCAGCCTAGCCACACTGCCTGCAAAGCATAGGCCAGGGTATAAAACCTGTCCCCTCTCCCTGACACCGCCCACTGTAGCACTCAGAACTGAGATGGGCCCTGAAGGAACTTGCTGAAGATGGAGAGTCCTCCCTCGCCCTTCAGAGCACTTCTGTGGGAGCAAGGAGAGTGCTGATCTTGTGGTAGAACTGAGATCAACTTTTGTCACCACCTGGTCATGTGAGCTCTGGCAGGTCCCTTCCCCCCTCTGCCTCGGTGTCCCATCTGAACGAGGCAGGGCAAGGACTCAGTAGTGCCACAGCTCTTCCTTCTCCAGCAGTTGGGGCACTCTGCAGGGAGGACTCTTCTCCCCTTCTGTGGCCATGGCTGCCCATCTGGCCACCTTCCCTGCTTCATCCCCACTGTCCTCCTGCAACCTTGCTCTGCTCCCTCCTTCTGTTGTCAAAAACTGTCCCTCAGCACACTTCCTTATATTAAAGTCATTTATTTACTTGTCTGTCTCCGCAACTAGTCTATGAGCCCCTCAAGGGCAGAGACCATTTTCCATTTCCCATCTGTCTGTTCTGTCTGCCCCTCTTCCCAGCAAAGATGCCGTAGATGCTAAAAAAAAATCTTATACTGTTCCAGGACTAGTTGTCTCTAACTCAGTACTCTGAACCTCAGTGTCCTCATCTGTCAAATGGGGGCTTGAACCTGATGATCTTTAAGAGCACCTTCATTCAGTTTTGGCATTCTCCGAGTCTACAAGCTCATGGCCAAGTTGGAATTGGGGAACTGCTGAGTGGGGAGTACAGGGGGTTGGGGATGGGAGGTGGGAGCAGTCAGGGCCCTCCTTCCCTGCCTCACAGATTGGAGGAGGGTTCAGTCCCCACCTTTCTTATGTTTCTCCTTCAGGACAATCTTGACGGTCGTGCTGCCTGCCCCCTTGGGTCGGAAGTGGCGAGGGATGAAGCTCAGAGGGGCGCTGAGGCCAGTGGGGGCTGGGGTGCCCGGGCCTCTCTTTCTCCCAGCATCACTGGAACACGGATCCTGAGGATGTCTCTGCAAATAGCAGGAAGGATGAAGGTCACTGACTGAGCGTAGCAGGCCCCAGCTGGGGCGGGAACAGCAAGATAGGCTGCAGCAAGAGGCTGCGGGGAGACCCCAGCATGACTTCCCAGAGAAGAGAGGGCAGAGGCCAGAGATAGAAAGGTCTGGATGAGGTCTAAGATGTCTTCAGACAGTTCGATCTTTGAAAACTCTCAGAGGATAGTGATTTGGAAATCTGGCCTCCAGGAAGCCTTTCTTGGGCCTTGTCAGACAGAGCCAAGGCCTTGGGGCTGGGGTGGGCAGAGGATATTGAGGTCTTGATCTGGCAGACATAATTGATCAGGGAGAACTTCATATTTGAGAAACAGAAGGTGAGCATGCAGTGAGGATGCACGGCAGGCAGTTCTCCTTTGCGGAGATTTAGTTGGTGGCTGGACAAGAGGATGGCCCTCTGAAGACTGCATCAGGCCCCAGAATCCCATGGGGCGTGAAGACCAAGAGCAGGCCCCATCCAGACCCAGACAAAGGGTCTCTGAAGCTTAGGCCCCCTTTCCTGAACCCCTGGGATCCAAAACCCCCAGACCCTGTCCCTCCAGACCAGGTCTTGAGAGGGCTGTCAGTGACAGCAACAGGGGTGTGACGAGGACAGCTCAGTTTAGGGAGTGGGCAGCTCCCGGCCACAGGAGAGGAGCAAGTGGGCTTGGGACAGGGACCAGAGCCTATTTATCTCCCTAGCTGACCTGGAGCCACACACATTCCTTCCAGAGCCCATTCCTGCCTGGTACAGTCCCTGCATCAGTTCTCTGATGGCCCAGAGCCTGAGCTCACAAGAGCTCGTAGAGTGGAAACTGTCCCAGGCCCCAGCACGGGCTCAGGCACATAGGATACTCCCGGGAGATGTGTGTTGAGTGGAATAAAGGCAAGAAGGAATCAAACAGCTCAGTCTCCTAATGCTTGCTCCAGTCACCCAACCCATCAGTAAGTAGCTGATCAGAGCCTGGAACTCAACCTGGGTGGGTTTCACTTACGCACTGCCTCCTAGGAAGAGGACAGGAAGGAAAGTGGAGGGAATGGTGGCTCAGGTCCTGTAGTACCCCAGTTCTCAGGTCTCAGGTCCCTACCTGAGAAGGCCTAGCCTAGGTGGGGAGGGCAGCAGGATGAGCTGGCAGAGGAGAAGGGTGCGGTTATGAGCTCAGGCTCCTGGGGAATCTCTGGGAAGGGGAGGCAGCCTCTAGTCTCCCAAAGACCAGGAGACCCAGGCTGAAAGAGCAGGTGGAGTTGTTCATGTGGCAGACATAGCAGAGAGGACCCGTCAGGGACTTGAATCAATGTGTGAGCCCATTCTCTATCTCCTTCCTCTCAGACCAGAGACAGCTGGCCAGCTAAGCCCATCTTAACCTAGACCAAGCTTGAGAGGGGCCAAGATACAGGTGGGTACAGACAGGCAGGCTCTAAAGAACAGTACCTCAGGAATTGGGTGGGGAAGGCTGGCCCAAGTTAGAGGCCATTCCCTGGGAGGAAGGTGCCTGAACTAAGGGGAGACACAGGCTGTAGATGGAACAGTGTCAAGGTGTTTCTCTAGAGGAAAATGAGGAAGTTTGGGGCCTGCTGCTGCCCTGCATGGTGACCTGTTCCCTCAGGGCACTCCTTGCCCATCAACCGTGATGGGACCCATAATGGGAGGCTAGAGAGAGGGGCTGGAATATAGTGGGGGTTCATGTAGCTGACCCAGGGGACAAACAAGAAATGAAGACAATAACTGGTATTGCTTGCCCCAGAGTCATGAGATTTAGGCCCTGGATCCCAGCCCCCTGTCCCGCACCCCATCAGGAAGGCTGTGCACTCACCACCCCGCGGAGCGACTGCACACTGTCCTCTTCAGCCGACTGCTCACTTGCCTCATCTGAAAACTCAAAGGGAAGCTGGGTCAGCCTCAGGCTTCCCAGCTTTGCTGGCTAGATAGAGCCCTGAGGCCTCCACCTATAGGGTCTGCCCATTCCCAAGGCCTGCTGTCACATCTGCAGCCCCAGCCCACTAGCTGGCTCCTTTGCCCCAGTGGGGGCTTCTTCCACTTCCCATTACAGCCTCTCTTCATCCTGGTTGGGTTGATGAAGTCCCCTACAACTGGGTTGCTGCCTCAGTTTCCCTGTACTGACCTCCTGGTCACCATTAGGACCGAACTCCTTGAAACAGAGCATCTTGTTTGGTCCTTACTGAAACTCACCTCTCTGGGACACTGGGCCATACCCTTCAGTATTTACCATAAATGGCCCAAAGGCCCAGAGTCCCATCCCTGCAGTCTGCATAGATGCAGTTTCCTGGACAGCCACACTTGAAGTCACCAGGCCTTGGTTTACACTTCCAGGACCCCACACTCCAGCCCCTTGGCCCCTCCAGCCTGAGGACCCTGCCAGTCCCTATTCCCCTGGGAAACCAGCACATAAAGCCGTTTGGAGCCCTGCAGCTTCCTAAACCCAAGTGGACCTCTCTCTCCTTAGCCCTTGCCTCACTCCACAGTCTGGTTCCCACCAGTCATTCTCGCTTCAAAGACCCAGAACATTAGAATTAGACTGTGTTAGAAATCACAGGGCACAACTGAGGCCCAGAGAAGGGAAGCAATTTGTGGAGTTAGTTGGAAGAACCAGGACTAAACTGGAGTCACCTGATCCCTAGTCCAGTGCTCCTTCCAAAACGCCAACATCTGGGGATGCATCCACTGTGGAGCACTCCCCTACCTGAGTGCCACCTCCTCCAGGAGGCTTTCCTTGACCACCCCAGCCTGCAGGGAACAGTCCAACCACTTCATTCTGCTCAAGCCTAGCCCGCCCTTCACTAGCTGATGTGTTGCTTCCCTGTTTTATAAGAGGTTCTACCTGGGTTCTATATGAAAGACATGTTCTGATCCCTGGTGAGCCCAATACTGTGACCAGCTCTGCAGTGAGGAAGGCAGGATGAGACGTAGTCCTTACCTGTACTAGACCCCTCTCACATGCCACTTATGGTCCTCTCAGCTCATCTGATTGCAGGGACTTTGTCCCCCCATGGCAGGCACTGCAGCGGCAGCCCCCCTGCACAGGCTCCCCAACACTTCCCTCAGGCTCAGCCTCACAGTGTCCCTCCCTCAAGTCCGCAGCTCCAGTCCACATCCCGTGCCCCCACTCCTTACCCCAGCCCACTCCTGCCTGTGCTCCCAGGGCTACTTAGCACCCACCCATGCATGCACAGCAAGGAAGTCCCACGCATGGATGAGTCTTTGGGCTCAGTGGAGAGATAGTTGGTGGCTGATGGACATATTCTTACTGCTTCCTCTACCACCCCAGACTTTTCTGAGAAGCAGAGACTACTTAGAGCAATAGGTCACTTTTGCTTGGTTAGCAAGCAAAGGCCAGCCCCTGGACATATTCCTGCATTGCTTCTCTCTCCTTAGCTGCTTCACTCCGCCTTCCCTCTTTCCTCCCCCAAGGACTGCAATAAAAATAAGTAGCACATCAGCTTCTGCCAGGCTCTGCTTTCTGGAGGGTGCAGGCTAAGCTACCACCCTGGAGGAAAGAGCCGTCTGCTACATGCTGGCTGTCCCCTGCAGTTCCTCATGGCTCTAACAGTCTACGGCTAGGCCCATGGAGTGGAGGGGTGGGTGAGCGCTGCCAGATGGAGGGACAGACTCACCTTTGCAGGCTTGGCAGCAGGAGTCTGGCAGTGGGAGGGGTGCGGGGCAGCCTGGTTCAGGGCAGGTCATGAGGCCGCAGTAGATCTGGCCCTCCTGACAGATAGAGCAAACCAGCTGGGAAATGAGCTCTGACGAGGGCTAGCCTTGGGGACTAGGGACACCCGCTTCCCTGGGAGCAAATGGCCTTGAGGTCTCTCCTATGGTGGGGAGGGGAAGCAGCAGCATCTCCTGGGCAAGGCCCAGCCAGCTCAGAGGAGGGGTCCCCCATGCCCTCCCAGCCCCACTTCCAGGCCCTGCAGGTAACATCCAGCCTTCAGCTTCCGACTCACTCACAGCCAGTTTGTCCCTAGGTGCCACCTGGTGAGGCGGGAATCTCCCTGTCCTACAGATGAGGAGCTGGAGCGGGGCCTGAGCCATCTCAAGTTAGAAAGACAGTTGGGGCCCAGTCTTCAAGCTTTTCCCACTGAAATCAGCATCCTGGGAGGGGGACGGGTAGGTGATACCTGGGCTCGTCTTGCTCTTTACTGAAAGCCCTTGGTCTCCAACTTTGGGATCCAGCCTTGAAAGGCAAGACTGCAGGGGAAGGGGCCTGCTGGGGGTCTGGGGCCAGGTGACCTTTGGTGGTCACTTCTTTCCTCCGGGCCTGAGATCCCTCCTCTGTGAAGTGGGGTCACACCCATCTGGGGTGTGAAGATCCAGCGAGGGAATGGTTGTGAAAAGCACAAGGCACAACGTGCCTGGGGGGAAGCACTGTTGCCTTGAGATCTTTCCCTGTTCCCTTTCCAGAGGGTCTGAGGAGTGAGTGTTCTGGTCCCTCGGGCGAGGCCAGAAGTCACGCCAGTCTCCTATAGTCAGGGATGAGAAGAAAGAAGGGAAGGCCCAAGTACCCAGGGAGAATGAACAGAGGAATCCTGGGAATGCTGTCACCACCTACCACCCAGCATTTCTGTCTCCTGCCACAGCCTCTCCTCATCCAGGCCTCATCCTTTCAGGGGAGGCACAGGGAAAGGAACATTGGCTTTGGAGCCAGGTGGCCTTGGGTCTGAATTCTGGTTCTGTCACTTACTAGCTGTGTGATCTCAGGCAAGTCACTTAACTGTTCTGAGCCCCAGTTTCCTCATCTGAAAAACAGAAATAGTGATATCCTCCCCCTAGGGTCATTCGGATACTGTCTATAAACCAGGCATTTCTATGAACCTGGTGACACAATAGACCACTGCAAAAGGCTCACACCCTGCAAAAGGTAATCGCTTACTAGGTTGATTTATAAGTAATCACTCCTCATTATTTGCAGGCTGTTTGCTCTGCAGCACAGAAACTTGAAGATTCAGAGACTCAGACTGATGGGACCCTGTCACTGAAAAGATGGGGAGGCAGGCCCAAAAGAAGTGACTTGTTCGAGGTTACACAGGGAACTGGGACAGTGCTGGAGCTCAAACACAGGTTTCTGATACCTCGTCTGGAGAGAACATTAATGATCATTTGGTCAGACTCCCTTACGCACTCAGAGGCCCGAGTGTGGTGATCAGGTAGTAAGGAAATCGGGAGGGCAGGGGCTTCTCCTGCCAATTCATGGATGAGTTGCCAAGCCAAGGGTTAAAAACGACATGCTGAAAGTCACCTGCAAACCTATAGGAAGGCCATGCCTAGACCGCAGTTCCCTTACAAGGAGGAGGCTGAAGACTTTCTAGAGGAGGCCCTGCGTAGCTTCAGTCTCTGTCCCATGATAACACTGCGAGTCAGCCCTGCCTGCCCCGAGGTCCAGCTCTAACAATAGGCAGGAGGAGTTTAAGTAGCTTCAGATTAATTTCCATTTACTACAGATAATCTGGCCCTGTCTCTGTCCCCCAGGACTGATAACTGATCATTTGCGTATTCATTCTCTCATTCAACAATCATTACAGATGTCTTCTGTGCTTTAGGTCCTGGACTGAGAGCAGAGGATAGAGAAATGAAACACATATGTTTCCTCCCCTCAAGGAATGCAGCATCTACTGGGGGAAACAGAAGGCTCAGGAAGGTGTGGAAGCTCACAGAATGGTCACCTGACCCAGTTAGGGACAGGACATTCCAAACCCCAGATGTTCCCTTTCCCCTGAGCCCATTCATTTTGCTTTGGCCAGGAGGGACAATCCCCCAGTCCGCAGTCCAGGCTACTGTGTTCTTTGCAGGCCCAGAGCGCTGGCCTGTGCTGAAGGGAAGGCAGGAGTTCTTACGGTGCAGCTGCAGAGGACACACTGGTTGGGCAGGCGGGAGGGGAACAGCTCATGGGCACTGAAGATCTCTCCATGTTGGTACACGGTCCCATTGTGCTGGCAGGACTTTGGTGGGGCCCGGAGCCCAGAAGGAGTGTGAGGTTCTGCAGTTGGGGAGGGGCAGGAGGAAGATTAAAATGAGGTTTCATGTGAATCTAAAAACCTTTGCTGAAATTAACGAGGCCACTTTTCTGAAGACTTTGCATTTGACCCCAACTTGAAATTTAAACCAAGCTCTGGCCTGGGCCTTGCCAGCCATTCCCCATATCAGCTAAGAGGTCCCTCTGATACCTACATCTGACTGTGTCCCTCCCTCCCATGACCCCTACCACAGCCCTCTAGCCCCCTCAGTGTCTGAGCCAGCCCCAGTGACAGCAAGAAGGTAAAGCCGGCAGCCTCAGCTTCCGCTCAGTGGTGCCAAGTTAGTGGGGCTCCATGAGCTCCATGAGGGCTCATGGAGCACTTCTCAGTGCCAGGCACTGTTCTAGGTGCTGGGGATATAGCAGTGAGCAAGAGTCCCCTGCCCTCACAGGGTTACATTCTAGTGGTGCCAGCTGGGATGATTGTCCCTGTGCTTGTGTAAATTCCTGTCATTCACTGGCCCCCAGAGTCCCCCTCCCCATCACCTGCCCATCAGTCCATCCTTATCCTGCCAGGTGGAGGGGTAAGCCTCTGGTCCCGAGAGAACCCACTCATTCATTCAAGACCCCTTCACTAAGCACTCCTCTGTTCCAGGCACCATGCTAGGCATTGGGAATGGAACAATGAGTAAGATTCAGCCCTTGCCATCAAGAAACTGAAACTCAAAAATTAGGGGTATGGTGGCTCACACCTGTAATCCTAGCACTTTGGGAGGCCGAGATGAGAGGATCACTTGACTCTAGGAGTTCGAGACTGGCCTGGGCAACATGGTGAGACCCTATCTCTACAAAAAAAAAAAAAAGATTTTTAATTCTTTTTTCTTTTTTTCTTTCTTTCTTTGAGACAGGGTCTCTCTCTGTCACCAGGCTGGAGTGCAGTGGAATGATCTTGGCTCACTGCAATCTCTGCCTCCCAGGTTCAAGTGATTCTCCTGCCTCAGCCTCCCAAGTAGCTGGGACTACAGTCGCCTGCCACCACACCCAGCTAATTTCTTTGTATTTTTAGTAGAGATGGGGTTTCACCATGTTGGCCAGGATGGTCTCAATCTCTTGACCTTGTGATCCACCCACCTCAGTCTCCCAAAGTGCTGGGATTACAGGTGCGAGCCATCGCGCCCAGCCAAAAAATTTTTAATTTAAAAAAAAGAAGTTTGAAATCTAATTAGGCAGAAAGACAAGCCACAAGCAATGATGCTGTAGCAGGTAAGGGCTAGGGTGGGTAGAAGCACAGAAGTTGTGACAGCAGAGAAGAGGAGCCTCTAACTCAGCCAGGGAGGAGTGGCCAGGGAAGACTTCCTGAAGGGCCAATGGCAAGCAGAGTCTTGAACTGTGGAGCCAAGCAGGCAGAGGAGCAGGGGATGGAAAGAGAGAGGGAGTGAAGAGCATTTCAGCAACAAGAGGCCTGGGCCAAGCACAAGGGGAAACCCAAAGTCAGCAAGGAGAGCTGAGGCCCCCTGGAGTCAGCATCAGACATGAGGACACTCCTTCACTGTGCAGGATGAAGCTGAGAGCCACTGTTCCCCTCAGGGACCCGCAGCCAGGAATCTCTATGACCCATGTCAGGGCCACGAGTCAGATCCCTACTGGGCTCCCCGCTGGAAAATGAGCCCCATTCCATACCAGCTCACCTGGAAAGCCCTGATTCCAGAGCCCAGACCCGAGACCAGAATCTGAAGCCTCTTCTTCACCACTTTCTTGATGCTTCTAAACATCAGTTTTCCTCTCAACCTCCCCTCCCACCTCCAAGTTGGCCTCCCCTCTGACTGCCCCTCACTGGACACTTGCTTTTGCCAGTTTCTTCCCAGACCACCTCTCCTTTCTCTGACCTCTTCTTCCTGGAATCTCATTCTCAGAGGCTTAGAATCTTAAAATCATGGAATCATAGACACTGAGCATCAGGACACACAGAGTCCCTGAATCTCAGCAGTGCGAGGAATCTCAGAGAACAGGGCCTGACTCCTTTAGTCCTTCTCAGCCCCCCAGTGGTAATTCTAGGGTCTCCCCCTAGGACCTTCAATCCCAAGATCACTCACCTTCACTTCCCAGACTGCGCCCATACCCTCCAGCTCTGGCAGGCCCGAGAGAGACAAGAGCCCAAGTGTGCCAGTCAGCAGGCCAAGCAAGGCCCTATTTCCTGCAGCTACTTTCTGCATGTCCTCCCTCCCCTGCCATGCACACCTACTTAAGGACACGAAGTCTCTGCTACCCCAGCACTGCCTGCGGATCTGGGATATTTCCTCCCTTGAGCACCTTTGTGTGTCTACACCTCTGATGGGTAGAGACTGCCCCTCTCCTTGCAGAGTTCTCCCTCAGCTAGAGGGCTACACTGGGAGTAGGAGAAAGGTCAGTGGACGATGGGGAGGAGCATGGCTACTTACCCACACACCTGGGACAGCACTGCTGTGGCTCTGTCACAGGCTGGGGGCAGTGGACAGGCGGACAGTGGAGGCGGTAACAACTCACATGGGCGCTCTGAAGGGGACACAAGGGTCAGCCCTGGTTCAAAGAACCATCATCTTCCACCTGTACCTGTCCTTTCCCAAAACTCCCACCCCAACTGCAGAAGTCTGTACTTGTAGTAAGCCTGTGATTGGACTGAAAACAATGAACTCAAGTGTGCCCAGTCCTTCCCCGTTCCTGCCCACCAAGGGGATCTCACTTGGCCCACACATCCATGTGCCTCCCCTACCCTGGAGGAAGTCAGACCTGTCCATGGACTTGCTTAAACACTGTGTCCCCTTCACAGAGAAAGACAAGGAAAAGCCTAGAGTTGTTTGACATTGATCTTGATGCTTTGACTGCACTATTTTAACTCTGGGGCTTGGTCCTTTTAACTCTGGGCCTGAGCCTTGTGGTCAAGAAAGGAACGAAACATGAGGACACGTGACCGGGAGGGGGTGTGAGACGAAAAACCTGATGTAGAGAAGATGGATGGCCTTATAATCCAGCCCCTAAATCTCTGGGAGGTTTGGGTAATCCTGCACAAAGCCTTTGGAGTTGGCACCACCGAAGGAGAGGCTGAAGTTCCTTCTCTTTTTCAAGTATAGCAAGTGAGAGAACTGGGCAGGGGAATGTACGCAGAGAGAGACAAGCAGAAACTGATGGATAGTGGCCACCACCCCTCGTGGGGGTCTTCCCAGCTCTCCAGGCAGTTTTTCTTTGGCCCCTCAGCCTTCCCGCACCTTGTTCTTCACTCTGTTACAAGGGTCACTCTGCTGTATTGTGATGAACCATTTACACCTGTGTCACCAATTCAACCACGAATTCCAAAGAATAGTAGGCATAGGGCCTTGCTCCAAGTTAGTGGCTGCTGGAGTCTGAATGAATACATGAGTGAGTGAATAAATGAGAGTAAGGAAAGGAGGGGTCGATGGTCCTCTCCTAGATGAATGGAGCCTGCTTTGTTCACGATTCTGAGGTTGGCAAAGTTTGTTTCTAGCCCCGCTTCTCCCCCTGGTTCCTTCCCCCTGCCCTCTCCCTGGACCTGAGTTCCCCGATAGCACTTCAGAGGCAGCCTCTTGCCCCATGGAAGGCCCTTGAATGGCCCTATGTCTTCTGGGGTCACTGCTTCCCAAGATGGCCAGAGGTAATTGCAAGGACTAGTCAGTGCTAACAGGCATCCCAGAGTCCACAGAATTGGCCTCAGCTCTAATAGGGGCCTTCTAGAGTCCCAACACACATGGGAGATTAATAAATGTCTAGAGGATAAACTAGACGCTAGACATCTGAGGCTCCCAGATGAGAAACTAGGATGGAGTGCAAAGGACTGTGTGGCCTGAAGAGTTAGAATCGGTCTCTTGATTCTGGCCTTGGAGGAGCCAAGGATGGCGATTATTATTAGCACCACGAAGCAGGAAATAGGATGGAGACAGGTTAGTGGTGAAAGGGCAGGTAAGGCATGTGGAAAAGCCCTTTGCAGTCACAGGGAACCTCTCAGGAAGTCATAGCCTCCATTTATTGAGTGGCTACTGAGGTAGGGCCTTTACGTTACATAAAAATCATCCCACTTTATATTCTCAACACCCCTAGAGGTAGGTACCATAGTATTAGTCACACTTTTTAAATGAGAAAAGAGCCTTGAAAGGTTAAGTTGCCTAAGATCACACAGCAGGTAAAAACTGTCACCAGGGCCCGTGCACTTTCCACAATGCTGAGCTGCCTCTGGTGAGTAGGTGTGGACTCATTCATACTCAATATTTGCTGCAGGTCTACTGGGTGCCAGGCCCTCTTCTGAGCACTAGGGATTTAGCAGTGAGTGGGACCAACAAGGTTTCTGCCCTCCCGGAGCTCACATCCTAGCAGTGAAAGATAGACTATTAAAGAAGTAAGCAAGGGCCGGGCACAGTGGCTCACGCCTGTAATCCCAGCACTTTGGGAGGCTGAGGTGGGAGGATCACTTAAGGTCAGGAGTTCGAGACCATCCTGGCCAACAGGGCAAAACCCTGTCTCTACTAAAAATACAAAAATTAGCCAGGCAGTAGTAGCCCACCTGTAATCCCAGCTACTTGGGAGGCTGAGGCAGAAGTATTGCTTAAACCCGGGAGTGGAGGTTACAGTGAGCTGAGATTATGCCATGGCACTCTAGCCTGGGCAACAGAGTGAGACTCCATCTCAAAAAAAAAAAAAAAAGAAAGAAAGAAAAAAAAAGTAAACAAGTAGGAACAAGAAGATTTCAGATGTTAAATTTATGATATAAAATGAAATAGAGGACCTGGTATGGTGGCTCTCACCTGTAGTCCCAGCACTTTGGAATGCCAAGGTGGGCAGATAGCTTGAGGTCAGGTGTTTGAGACCAGCTGGACAACATGGTAAAACCCTGTCTCTACTAAAAATATGAAAATTAGCCTGGCGTGGTGGTGCGTGCCTATAATCCCAGCTACTCAGAAGGTTGAGGCATGAGAATCACTTGAACTTGGGAGGCAGTTTGTAGTGAGCCGAGATTGTGCCACTGCACTAGCCTGGGTGACAGAGTGAGACTCTGTCTCAAAATCAATCAATCAACAAATAATAAATGAATAAATAGAGGAATATTATTTAATTAATAGGGGTAGACTCTGTTAGAAACAGCTGTCAGGGAAGGCCTTATAAGGAGGTAACATTTGTGTTATGAACTGGGAGATCAGAAGGAACTGTTTGTGAGAAGATCTGAGGGAAGAACATTCCAAGTGGAGGAAATAAGTTGGAATGAAGCTCAAGTGTTGGAAAAACTGACAGAGGTCAGTGTGGCTGCAGCAGAGGGAGCAGGTATGAAATGAAATTGGAGAATAAGGCCAGGCGCGGTGACTTATGCCTGTAATCCCAGCACTTTGGGAGGCCGAGGCGGGCAGATCATGAGGTCAAGAGATGGCGATCATCCTGGCCAAGGTGGTGAAACTCTGTCTGTACTAAAAATACAAAAATTTGCTGGGCGTGGCAGCGGGTGCTCGTAGTCCCAGCTACTCAGGAGGCTGAGGCAGGAGAATCACTTGAACCTGGGAGGCGGAGGTTGCAGTGAGCCGAGATTGCTTCACTGCACTCCAGCCTGGTAGCCTGGTGACAGAGCATGACTCCATCTCAAAAAAAGAAAAGAAAAGAAAAGAAATTGGAGAGTAAGACAGAAGCAGAGCCCTCAGCAGGGAATTTGAATTTTACTTTAGGTCCAACGAAAAGCTATTGGAGGTTTTTTTTTTTCTTTTCTCTCCTTTTTTCCCTAAATCAGAACATGACAATCAGCACACAGTCTCTGCATGCCTGTCAATGAGTTCATCATCTGTTACTGGAGGGTTTTAAGAGCGGAATGACATGATCAGTTTCATGCTGAGAAAAGACCATTCTCACAGGGCACGGTGGCTCACTCCTGTAATCCCAGCACTTTGGGAGGCTGAGAGAGGCGGGTGGATTTCTTGAGCTGAGGAGTTTGAGACCAGCCTGGGCAACCTGGCGAAATCCTGTCTCTACAAAAAATACAAAAATTAGCTGGGCATGGTGGCATGCACCTGTGGTCCTAGCTACTCAGGTGGCTGAGGTGGGAGCATTGCCTCAGCCTGGGAAGTCAAGGCTGCAGTGAGCTGAGATCGCACCACTGCACTCCAGCCTGGGTACCAGAGTGAGACCCTGTCTCAAAAAAAAAAAAAAAAAAAAAAAGACCATTCTCCCTGCCACATGGAGGATGGATTTAGAGGGGGAAACAGGAAGACCCATTAGGAGACTTGTGTGGCAGCCCAGGAAAGAGATGACAGATGATGGTGGCTTGGATTACGGGGAACAGTGATGGTGGAGAGAAGTGGAGGGATTGAGGGTATATTTTGCAGATAACAGCACAAGTCCTGTGGGTTGAGGAAACTGTATGTGAACTCTGGGAAAGGAGAAATGAATTAACTCCAATGGCTCAAAAAACTTGGACTTTGTCAACTGGACCACATGATATGTCTGGAATTTTCTGTTATGATTTCCTTTCTGTTCTCTGGCTATATTTCATAAAGTCCTTCTTGAAAAGGCTGATTGGCCTCAGATGTGCCAAGGCAAATGGAGGGGAGGCAGTGATGATGGGGGTTGTGTCCCCATTTCTACTTGGGGCCAACACGGTAGAAGCAGTGGTGAGTCTGGGGGAAAGACCCCAGGAGGAGTGGGACCCCAGTGTCAAAGTCAGGAGGGGGCTAAGCCACCCCTCCGCCACCCCACAGGATCGTCTCCAGAGCTCTTTCTGCTCCCACCCCAGAGGGTTCTGTTTTAACAAGGGAGACTCTTAGAGGCCTTCCGCATTCCTCTCTTGGCTCTGTGCAGGGAAAGAGAGGGGCTGGGAGGCTGGCTCGGGCTAGGAGCTAGCTACCCCTCCCTCCAAGCACCAACACCCAGACAAAGAAAGCTGGGGACATCCACACTGGGTTCCAGGCAGCTGAGCTAAAACCAAGGGTTTTTCAAGCCTTCTAAGCCACTTCCTCCTCTTCTGCCCCTCCAATCTCATACCTTGCTTGTGAATTCTGGACCACATGGGGGTCTCATTCATTCTACACAGTTGATTTTACAAGGCCCTGTGGAGGTGCTGGATTGTTATGGGGTACGGTGGGGTGGGAGGAGATGGAAAACAAAGACATGGTCTCTACCTCAGGTGGTTCAGCCTTTGGCAGGGAATCATGCTAGGCACGAGTGAGGGCCCAGCAAGTCCTAGTCTCAGAGGTTCAGTCTAGGAGGGGCAGTAACTATGCTGCCTGGTCAATAGTGACAGGAGAAAGGGGCAGAGAAACTTCTGTGGGATCCCAGAAGAAGAAAATTCTTCCAGGTGGAGGTCATTTTCCCATTTGGGCAAATCCCTGAGGAATAAGTACTTGGGCTAGTGGAGGTGGAGGAATACATCCTAAGGCAGGGCCGAAGTGGCTGGAGGAAATAGTACATGAAAAGGAGGGAATGGAAGATAAGGTCAAAAAGGCTCTGTCTTGGGCTGCATGGGAGGCAGGGAGACTGGCACCACTATGAGGTGGAAAGAAAGCTGGAATGTGAGATGGGAGACCAGGGTCCTCATCCCAACCCAGCCACTAATGTTTGTGTGACTTATCTTTGGGAGGTACACAGTAGCCATCTAATCCTGTATATTGAGTACTCAGTAGTGAAATGGCTTTTCCCAAGTCCCTCAGCTGCTGCTGACAGCACAGTTCTAGAAGGCCTGGTCCTCCCTCTGGGGTGACTTCTCTGGAGGGTTCTCAGATATCCCCGACACAGGTGGCAAGGTGACCAGAGGAACCTACCTCCGAGCAGGTACAGCGCAGGCAGTACATCAGGCCTTGTGGCTCCAAGTAGGGGTGCCAGCTCTCGCCAGGGGAGTATCTTTTTCCATGGAAAAGGCAGAACATGTCTGGGCCTGGCAAACCGACCAGTGCCATGTTAGTCCCAGGAGGCTCCAGCCCAAAGACCCTGTCTCATTTCTCCTTCTTTCTAGCTCTAGAAGAGATGTCATCTGGGCCACTCAGGCAAAAGAGAATCTGCTGGACAACTGGACGTGCTCTCCTAGGCAGGGGGCCAGAAGGTCTGAGTTTGAATCTCAGCTTGACCACACACTTACTGTGCGACACTGGGCATGCCACTGTCTCTGAACCTTAATGCTTATCTCACAGGTCAGTTAGGGAATCAAGCAGTGAAATGCTGTACAGATTTATATCATGGTAACATTAATTATTATGATTAGATGAATGAGGCCCAGAGAGGGTAAGTTACACCTCAGGGCCACACAGCAAGTCAGTCACCGGGCAGGGATGACAGCATCAGTCTCCTGACTCAGTCCCACGTTCCTCTGCCCTCACAGTCACGCTTGTTTCCTTTTTATTTGTCCCATTTGACTTATTTAGTACATCACTACACCCTTCCCTCCCTTCCCACCCTTCTTTCCTCTCTCATCCCGCTCCCCTATACACACACACACACACACACACACACACACGTGTACACATATTCTCTGGGTCCTGTAGCCTACGTTTTGAACAAAGCCCTCCTGGTGTGACAATCACCAGGCACCTGTGTAGAGGAGGGTTGGCAGGGATGGGGCCCAAGGCCATGGTGCTGGGAGCTTTCTTGCTTTCACACTTTTCTATGTCCTTGTATTTTGGTGAGCCATGATGGAAAGGTTGTAGGAAACTGACTTTCAAGTATCTTTAAAAATGGTCATTGCTACTACTGTGATTTGTGATTGGCACATCAATGGACTTTTTTGCAATCGTACATCAGTTGTCAATATCTGGATGAATGCTTCTAAGAATTACTAAAATCATTTGTTCCATGGGTTGGCTCTCTCTCCCACAATCCTGCATTCCTGAAACCTCTGCCTCTCTCACCTCTCGTAACCTATTGATCCACTCCTGCTCCCACATCCTACCCACCTATCCCCAGCCCTGGGTTAGACCTCCCAGCCCAGCACTGCAGCCTTGTGCCCCGCCCCTCTGCCTCCCACCCTATCCTCGCCAACCCTCCTCTACACAGGTACCTGGTGATCTTCACGCCAGCAGGGAAAAACATTCCATTGCCTGAGCTCTTTTCAGGAGGAACTGGGAGGCCCAGCACAAGCTAAGTGCCAGTAAAGGTTTGTTGAATTAAATGAGATTGAAATATGGAGAAGGGAACCAACATTTATTGACTATCTTCTCTTTGCCGAACTCCTTACAGAAGTTAGTTATCTCATTAACATGGTTGTTTTGACCATTAAATTAGATAACGCTTGTAAAGTGCTTACCCAGTCCGGTTTCTGACCCTTAGTTGAATGCTATTATTATGATAATTGTGGTAACAATCACAAAGCCACTGCAAAATGGACATTGTCATCTTCCGGAATAGATGACAGTATCCGTCTTGCAGTGGCTTTGTGACTGTTACCACAATTATGAGAAGGCTCACAGAGACTATGCCACTTGCCTAAAGTCCTCCGCTAGGATTTCAACCCAGGACTCCTAACTCCAAAGCAGAGCTCCTTTCTCTTCACCTCATCTCCTATGGCTTTTTACCCAATTCCAGGGCCTAAAGGCTCAACTGCCTTCTCTCTCTGCCCCACCGGCCACCATCCCCAACTCCGTAGCTTATTCTTTTAGTCCCCTGTTGGTCTAAAATGGAGAAGTTGCCTCTCATGCCTCCTCCTCATTTTCCAGAGTCAAGCATCTTGGAAACATGGGTTCTCACACTTCCTAAATCACATTCTCTTAGACTTTGAAACAGAATTGCAGAGCCTTGAAAGCAGTAATGAGTTCGGTGGGGTGAGCGGAGAGCTCACATTCAGTGCAGGAATTCCCTCTCAGCACTGGGGGCTGGGCTGGCGTGCAGCCTCTGCCTGACACACGCCTTCAGGGAACAGGAGCTCATGGGCCATTCCTAACCATTAGAAGGTTTTCTTTGTAAGGAGCTGGAGTTGGCCTCTCTCTGGTTCCTCACATTGCTCCTACTCTGCCCTCTTGGGCCTCCTAGAACAAAGATTTGAGACTGCTGTCATGATGCCTTCAGTCTGTGCTTTGAGGGTCGCTGAGAGTAGGAACACATGACTTAGTTCCCTCGCCATTCCCTTCCCAGCTCCCCAAAGTGGAGCTCACATTCCCAGCAAGCCAGCAAGGCCCGGCTGGCCCGTATCAAATGAGCTGTGTTTATCTCTCAGCCTCCACTGGCAGAGAGGGTGGGACACGGGCCCAGCTGGGGTGCTGGTCAGAGCCAGCCCAACTCTCCAAGGAGTGAATAATGTCTTTCTTCCTCAGTCCCCTCCTCCCACCAGGGAGGGGGCGATTGCAACACTGCCACCACCTTAGGTCTCAGCCTGTTGCTGAAGAAACCCTGTCTTACCTTCCTTGGGGCGGCCCTGGAGCCCAGGCCTCTGTGCCAGTTGGCACCCCCTTCACCTCACCGCCTGCTCAGAGCATGAAGACAGAAAGCGTCTCAGCCAATGCCCAGGCAGGAGGCCCCTTCCCCCCACTGATAGACCTGGCAGAGGCTGAGAATGTGGGGGGCCTGGCAGGAGGCCTCCAGTGGCCACAATCCCCACCCCACCATACCCTAGAAGGTGACAGGCACAAGGAAGGGTGGCATGGCCTGGAGCTCTCTCAAGTGAGATGAGTGCCCATGGCCATGCCAAAACCAAGCAGGAGGAAGAACTGCCAGGCGGCGACAGGCCGCCTCAGTTTCTGCAGTGCTGGCACTAGCCCCAACCCTTGAACATGGCCGGTGGAAACAGTTTTAGTTCTTTAAGCCACAACTTCACTGTGTGACATTCAGAGACTCATCCTCCTTTCTCTGAGCCTCAGTTTCCCATCTGCAAAATAAGAGAAGGGGGTAAGCTATGATCTTGAAAGATTTTCTGCATAGTTTATGAATCCATGATTTCAACATTTGAAGACTCCAAAATTCTAGGATTCTAAGATTCAGGATTTTGAGAATTCCATGTTTCTAAGAACCTATATTTCCTTAGAATACAAAGCTTCTAGAATTGTCCAATGTTGTGGTTCTAAGATTTGATCATTGCAAGATTCTATGATTCTTGGATGTGTTGATGGTCTCATACATCCTAGGCTCTCAGAACCTCCAAAGTCGGTTAGGATGAAGTTCAGGGAACCAGTAGGGCCAGTCCTGAGTGACACAGGAGTGTCACCTGAGTGTGAAGGAGGTAAAGTTTGTCTCACATCTCACTCCCTTCCCATACACTCCCTTTGGTCCTCTGTGGCATTTGCACCCCTACCCTGGCCTTGGACCTGCCCTGATTCCTCTCCCTCCCCACCACCACGTCTCATCCCACCTGTCCCCATGCATCCCTCCCCATCTCAGAGACCAAGCATGCCTTTTCTCAGGGACCTTTTGGAGTCAGATCGGCAGGGGTTCAAATTGTGGATTTGGCTTTTATTTGCAGCCTGAATTTAGACAAGTTACCTAACCATTGGGGGCCTCTGTTTCCACATCTATTAAATGGAACTAGTAACAATCTTTACCTCTCAGAACTACTGTAGAATTAAGTTAGATAATATATGTAATACACCTAGTGCCTGACATATATTATGTGCTCAACTAAATAGGTTTAAAAAAAAAACCAGATCTGGGCACTGACCCCAGACTTTCTTAATCCCTTAATAGTTTGTTTCCTGTGGTGTTTCTTTGACTCCCAGAACTCTCTGTGGTCATCCCCAGGCACCTATTAGGGGACGAACATCATAGCACACACTAAGGCCAAATCTCCCTGGTCTCATTTACAATTGCACCAACCCTGATTCTGGTGGCCTCCTGCATTCTTCTAGCCCCACCCACAAGCCAGATCAGTCTGCCTCAACTCGCCTCATGCCTACAGACCTTGGGCGGGGATACAGAGATGAAAGTGGCTCAGAAGTTGGAGGAGAATGGGAAGGCAGACATGAGAGGCAAGAGACCAGTCTGGAAAGAGAAGCAGAGGCTTATGGAGGGCTTTGAGAGCCCAGGAGGCAAAGGAAAGCCATGGAAAAGCTTTAAACTGGGGAGTCCCATGATCAGATTTGCATTTTAGAATCATCACTGTGCTCACAGGAATGGGGAACTAATTGGAGGGCAAGACTGGAGGCAGAGAGACCACGGAGGGGCTGTTGCAGTCATCCTGCTTTGAGATCATGCTGGACCTGTACCAAGATGGAAGTTGTGCTGATGGGCAAAAGTACAGATTTGAGAAACACTTAGGAGGTACAATGGGCAGGCTTTGGGACAGACTGGATAGGATATAGGTGGAGAGGGCAAAGGAGCCGTCAAGGACAGGATTGAGGTTTCGGGACTGAACACATATGTGAGTGTGGGGCACTTGGCATAACAGGCAGTAAACATTATTATCATTAGTAATACAGTAGTCCCCCCTCATCCTTGGTGATACATTCCAAGACCCCCAGTGGATGCCTGAAAGCACAGTTTGTACTGAACCCTAGATAGACCATGCATAGATTTCTTTTGCCTTCTTTACAATTTCACAGATAGAAGATTCACCCTTACTGTAGATCTTAGCAAACTCACTATATCATTTTTTTCCTTTCCTTATTAATTGAGAACTTCTACCTTTTTACTTAAAGAAAGCACTTTATGGCTTCTCTTTGGCATATCCAAATTGCTGGCATTGCTACTCATGCTTTGGCGCCATTATGAAGTAAAATAAGGATTCCTTGAACACAAGCCCTGCAATACTTCAACAGTTGATCTGATCACTGAGACAGCTACTGAGTGATTAACAGGTGGGGAGCATCTACAGTGTGGACACGCTGGAAAAGGGATGATTTACCTTCTGGATGGGACACAGAGCGATGGCAACAGAATTCACTATGCCACGCAGAATGATGTGCAACTTAAAACGTATGAATTCTTTATTTCTGGAATTTCCAATGTAATATTTTGGAC